ATCGATGCATTAAATCTTCACAAAAGTGGAGACGGCGGTCTGGGTCGTCCTCAGTCAATGCATGTATCAAGTGACCCTTATAGGGGTGAAATTTCTCTTTTTTGAGAAAGTTCACCACAGTTACATGTGAAATATCATTGTTCAATGCAATCGACCTTGTACTAGAATGAGGGTTGTCCTGGAGCTCCACCAGGATATTCAATCTAGTTTCATCATCTACTCTAGGACGACCCGCACGAGGAGCATCTTTCACACTACCAGTTTCCTCAAACCTTGCCAGTACCCTACTAACCGTAGATTGCGTAATTGGTGGTCTGTCAGGGTACGTTGCATTAAATAATTGGCAAGCTTCTTGATGGGTTCGTAACTTATCGCCGAAACCAATCATCCTCAAAATATCAATTCTTTCGCGTTCACTAAGTTTTGCCATTTCGAATTAAACGATTTCACCAAAGAATGTTAAATCGGTACTGATTTTTAGTCTTCAATATTTCAGGTAATCTACTCCTTTCAAGTAAACATTTCTTTGGATCTTTTTTTTTTAGGAATTTATCGGCAAACTCGAAGACAAAAAGTCGACCTTAATTTGCTACATACTATTTGGATTTTGTGCGGTTGAACTTGGTTCTAAATTTTGCAGTTTAATCAGGATCCTGACAATATCTGATGAATAATTCCGCAAATATTACATAACACCAGTTGCAACTTAAGTTATCTGAAATGCTTTCTGCCGAATAAATTTTTTTCTAAGGCATTTGATCCGTAAACAGCAAATTATTGCATTCAAGAACTTAAGGTGCATTTTTCTAAAAAAAATTGTTATGTAAGACATCGAAATTTTCACACCGTTGTTTAGATAATTATCACTGTCATCAATTTCGAACGAAAAAAATATGCGTTGTCATTTAAAAAAAAATTATGTCATCGCTGCCGTAAGTGGATTATCGAAAAAAAAAATTTTCCTCATAACAAGGTGCCCTGGATCAAATAAAAATCGACGGGTCTCGCCGTTTTTCGAAAAAAAAAATTGTTTAAGAAAAATATGAATTTTATGCAGAACTTTTTTACCACGCTGTATATCGATCACAGGAATAAGCGGAAATGTATGGTCAACCACTGACGGAGAATTTTGTATTTTTTTTTAAATAAAAAGCATTCCGCCAGTGGTTAAACAGAAAAACTGTAGGTGCTTCTAATTTTGAATCTAGTGTTTCAGTTTAGCATCAAATTTTAAACATGCCCTATATACCAGGGTAAAGTACATTCATAGATTTAAGAGAACAATTACCTACGTCGACTTGGGTTTAGTTACTGTCCATTATAAGAATTTAAAATGTTTTAAACAATTATGAAGGAAATTAATTGATTACCAGATAGGAACTGTACTGGAATAATCTTTTTCTGGGAATCAACTTACAAGTAACGTATTTCTGATAGGATAAGGATAAATAGGATAAATTAGTTTGTGATTCGTGTGAACCAAGAATATACTTGAAATATATACTGAATATTCGAATAAGCCTAACCTAATCTTAATATAATACCACTACTACTCGTATTGATCACTTTTTCTAAATAGCGTCTGGCTTCAACAATTATTGAACATCAAAAACGAGTAGGTACTTCTGTGATAGTTTCACTAAAAGTAAAAGACGAACGATACTATGGCTTCAGCTGTATCACTGTATATTCTACCCCATAGAACACACCCCAAATACTGGTTTACTGGTATTCATAAGAAGTGGCCAGCACAGACCTACTGAAAACTGTTGAACATTCATATTGCGAATATTAAGAGAGATTTATTATTAACATAGGTGATGATACTGGTAGCGAGAACGAATTAAGTGAATGCTATTAACCTCGATTATTTTATTAAAAAGTATGTGTATGTGTATAAGGTGTGTTATTATGTGTTTTGATTTTATTAGCTAAGCAGTATTGTAATTATCTTTAATTTTTTTATGCACACGACACATCTAATATAAATATAATTTCCTATGTCACTTCAAAACATTCTCTCAAAACGTAGTTAAATAAAATTAATTCTTGAATACTACTTAGCGCGGACCTGTTTGCGCCCTCTGTTTGTCTTACGACATCGTAGCAACTCAAGTAGTCATTCTCGTAAATCTGTGAATATACTATACTAAACTGCATAAGCGCTTTGGTCCTAAGGCATATACAGGGTGTCCCGGTACTTGATACAAAAAAGTCGAGTACCGACAGATGAGGTCAAAATAATATCAGTTCTTCATATAAATTTTTTTCATACAGGCCTTCGTTAACAAGTTACGGGCCCTCAAAAATTTAAAAAGTTATTTTTATTTATAGTCTCTAAACTATTAGCTTCAGTATGATGTAATTTTGGTGATCGATAACACATGCGTACAGTTTGTTTTTGGTGAAGTGACACTTCATTATGCCCAGAACACCAGGGACGGACTATACCCAATGGTTAACAACCCAGAATTTTTGCATAGGTGACGATCGCAATCTGCCTGCATAAAAAATAAATTTCCTGAAGAATTTGCTAACGATAATATTCTTGGTTCAACTCGATAAAATTAACAGTTTAGGAAATATTTGTGATTTTATGTCACAGTGCACATCGAGCGCCGCCTCCACCATTTTTTGTTTTTAGTTTTTAATTGGATACAATTGTTATGGCAGAACGTTGCATATTTTTAAAATAAGAGCCTAGAAAATCATGCTGCTTGCTAATGTAATTTTTACTAACAAAATTTGGCAAACACACTTCACACAACACAAAATAGAAAAACAAAACAAGAATAAGTTAAAGTTAAAAAATAAATTTAAAAGAAATATTTATTTTATATATTTTCAATCCACCTTCACACACTTCCTAAGTCTACGAATGTTATTTGCTTGTACACGGAAAAGCATTTCTGGGGTACCTATGTTTGATATTATCACAATGGAAATTAATTCTTTGTAGCAATTCATCCCTTGCCTGTACTGGGGTTGAGTACACTAAACTGTTCAGGTATCCCCACAGGAAAAAGTTTACCGGGTTAAAGTCTGGAGAACGTGGTGGCCATGAAATTGGGCCTCCTCTCCCAATCCATTTATTATTAAACATAATGGATAAATAGTTTCGTACATCAATATTAAAATGTAGAGGAGTCTCATCGTGAATGAAACAAACGTTTTCTCGGGTGTCTAATGGAACATCGTTTAATAGTGGCTGAAAATTATTCTGCAAAACTCCAAATATCGATGTTCCTTCAGACGTTCCTCATAAACGTGTGGACCTATCAAATTATTACCCACTATTCCGGGACATACATTAATAGTGGGTAATAATTTAATAAGTTTATAGGTTTTTGAGAAACGTATGAATGGACATCGATATTTGAAGTTGAATACTTACTTAACTTATTCTTGTTTTTTTTTCTATTTTGTGTTACTTATGTGTAGTTTTTGTCAAATTTTGTTATTGAAAACTACATTAGCAGACAGTTAGATATTCTAGGCTCTTATTTTAAAAATATGTACGGTTCTAACATAGTAATTCTGTCCAATTAAAAAATAAAGACAAAAAATGGTGGAGGCGACGCACAGTGTGCCCATTTGGACAAAATTCTGCCGACAGTACAAAACTAAACCGATTTTCATGAAAAAATTTTTGCATGTTTTTTATAACTTGAAAAATGACCATGGGTGCAATAAATTTAATTTGTGACCTTTTGACCTTGATAAAATTCGAATTCGTGGTACACCCAAGCTGTTGTGCATAAAATACGTTTTTAAAATAACTTCACAGATATTTTCGACCATACAATGTTCACGAAAAATTGTTCAAAGTTGTTTTCTGAGTTCTTATTATCCTTGGGACTTCAAGCCATATCACCAAGGTCGTTTGAAGGTCAAAGGCGTATTTTATAGGCTAAATACTGTATATTCATAAGATAAGGTTTGAATTCATCAAAAATTATTATGAAACGATATAAGTATCAGCCAGCTGTAAAATATCCTTGCCTTAACTGGCCGGGTATATCATTCTTGCCTTCACTGGTCGGGTATATCATCCTTGTCTTCACTGGTCGGGTATATCATATCGTTTTCTTATAATTTTTTAGTTTTATCCTTCGAATATACAGCATTTAACGTGTAAAATAGGCGTCTGATATACAAATGACCTTGAAGCATGGAGGTTATGTTGAGCTAAGAACGTAGTATCGCATGCAAAAAAATTTTCATGAAAATCTGTTTAGTCTAGTACTGTCGGCAGAATTTTGTCCAAATGGGCACATTGTGCGCCGCTCAATGACATAAAATCACAGATGTTTCCTAAACTGTTAATTTTACCGAGTTGAACCAAGAGGGTAATATCGTTGGCAAATTCTTATTCAGGGAACATATTTTTGATGGAGGCAGATTGCGATCGTCATCTATGCAAAAATTCTGGGTTGTTAACCATTGGGCATAGTCCATCCCTGGCGTTCCCGGGCATAATACAATTTCGCTTACAACATCAAAAACAAGCTGTACGCATGTGTTATGGATCATCAAATTTGCATTACGCTGAAGCTAATAGTTCTGTAAATAAAAATAACCTTTGAGAGCCCATAACTTGTTAACGAAGGCACGTATGAAAAAAAATTACATGAAGAACTGGTTTTATTTTGACCTAATCTATTTGCACTCGACATTTTTGTATCAATTACCGGAACACCCTGTTTATGGTATTTTTTGGCTGTAGATGTTCTGATTTCAATTTGATATAATATTTTAGAAACACCCTTTATAATATTCTATTATAGTTTTATCCTGTATACACGCAATCTGGTTTAATGTTTAAAAAACTGATATTACCGGGAAAACTGGTGCGCTTCGACAATATTTTATAGTAAGACTAAATTTCCTTCATATTCATCTGCTATTTGCACTTGTCGCTGTTAAGGCATTATCGATTCCACCCCTGGGCTGTAAATATTTTCATGAAATAAGCTCCTAATTTCCGTTTTTCCTTTCAGGATTTCTTAAACATTCTGTCTAAAGTGTCAAGGGGTAGCGTCAATGAAAAATTACAATGGGTATTCAATCTCTACGACTTAAATGGCGATGGGCTCATTACCAAAGCGGAGATGGTGGATGTTGTATCGAGCATTTACGAAATGCTCGGCAGGGCGACGCAGCCAGCTGTTGAGGATTCCTCGGCAAAGGAACACGTAGAAAAAATATTTAACGTAAGTTATACAGCCCAGCTGTCACATACAAAAATTCTGCCCTCTGTCCTTGGAAATGTTACATTTATTTGACTGAAATTTCCCTGCAATTGCATTTGTGCTAGGGCAACACAGAGCGCTAAGCTTGTTACGTTCGCTGTACACTTAAAAACGGCCAATCGTAGCGTGAGTACTACAAGGTCTGAATCCATTTAGATATATTTTACATAGCCTTCATAGTGCCTGCAATGTTGGTTGCCTAAGTTGACAAGTTACGTTTGCGTTACTGGTACGTAGGTACAATTATTTCTATAATGTACAAAATGGATGTTAGAGTTGTGGATTGATGCGAATGCGATGCAATATTACGGATACAGAGCTAGTTGTGTTTGGTATGCTCGCTATGTGTATTAAAATATAGACACCACTGTTTGAAACGGACGCAGAATGCGTATATCCCAGTAAATGAAATTTGTAATACATGTAAATCAAAAGAAGTACTATATCCCAGAAAGGTTCGATTTAAAACAACAAGATCATTGTTTAAACAATGATTATAATGTAAAAATTACCAAAAATTAAGTTTTTTCACTGTATTAAAAAGCGCTTTCCAACAGGAGTTTTTGCTTTTGTTTATACTTACAGGTTTTCAAAAAACGCTTCATTTGAAACCTGCTAAATTAAAATCCATTCACAATTTGTTTAAATAATTGCAAAAAAACAGCGAAATTTAAATTTGCTATAAATAGAAGAAAAGAGCATAAATCGTCTCTAAACTGCAGTAAAAGTTGTATTTTGGTACGCTTAAGAAACCCTGAAAATTGTTTACGATATTTTGCATTTGATTATTAGAAATAGCATTTTGTCAATTGCAAAAACGCGGTTGTTAGCGTGATAATAAAGGGCCTTATGAGGGCTCAATTGTTTCGTCTTGACTTATATTTTCAAGATATGCAATTGGAAATTGTAATTTCATAGGCTAACCTCCTCAAAACGTCGTATAAACAAATAGTGTAATTTGTTTATAAGGTTTTTCGTTAATAACTTTGCGAAGAATGCATATTTTTTAAAGCCGCTTTGATATTCGTAATCCTGGTAATTTTTCACGAATTTAAAAAAAAATGTTCTAGGACCATTTTTAGCCGATAGCGTTTTTTTTTTAAATTCATAACTTGTTTGTTTATAAACATTAGGAGTTGAAATTTCGGAAATAAATCAATCAACCCTTAAACTTCATAATAACGGTTAAGAATATCGAATAAAATGCTTTTTATAGTAATTTTTGACCCTTTAAAAAACATCCTCGAATTCATTTTTACACCTGGAATGTGGTGGGGGAAATAAGACACAAACATTCCGAACCATCAAATTTTGTGATATCTCCGGTAATTGTGGACTAATTTTAACGTTTTTTTTAATCTGGGGTAGCGCATGAAAATAATAACAACTGCACGGTCCATTTTCCAATAATTAATTATTAATTTGTTATAAACTATTAATTTTGTAAAAGAAAATTTTTTGTAGGATTTTTTCGGGAAATAATTTTTCATAATGGTACCAATGAACAATTTTCTTAAAAAACAATATTTTTATGTAAAAAAATATGTCAGGAAATGACATATTTTTTTATGTATAAAGTTTATTTTAATGAGAATCCACACTATTACGATAAAACTTTGAAACAGCATTAAAATGTGTAGCGCTCTCTGTGGGACGAAAAATATGACCAAAACGTGCGGTTCTACTAATGTATTCTACTTTAATAAAAGCAACTTGTAATCCCGCAATATTTCCCAATTTAGACTTTATAGTCGCCAAAATTAAGACTGTATTAAACCCTGTAGACTGTTATTCTGTTCATTTTTTAATTACTTGATTTTTATTTTAATTAACCCTCAATCAGGAATCATCACCACTGAAATAATTTAACTATCTTATTTTTTTTTGTCATCATACCGTTCTAGGAAAATAGAAATTTCACAACAACCTAAATTTAAATGTAAATAGTCTCGTATATCGAATCACACTTTACTCAAAAAAATATAGTCGCATGTGTTGAATACTGCTTGAAATTACTTTTGTGTTCTATTCAAGATATTGATATTCGCATTTATATACACGCGTTAAAATTTTAGCTTATTTATCCCTAATAATAAATAACGAATGTAACAGTAACGCAATTTCCAGTAGGTTTAATGATTTTGTTCTGTACTTTTGAATATACTTTTGTCTAAAACTCAACACTGCAGCTATTACCGGGAGCATAGGTTAAAATTGTGGCTTTTAACCGTGTAGCCATAGTCTCAAATATCCGCTTATCCTGAAAATCTAGAATATTTGTATGATACCAGCGGCAGATAAAACCATAATTTTAACAAACTCTTTGACGAATTTATTAGTTATAAACTTTATGGTGTGGATTAGTGAACATCTTGTATGTTTTAAGTGAATAAAAAATGTTTTTTTTTCAGATGATCGATACGAATAAGGACGGGGTGATTACCATAGATGAATTAATAAAATGGTGCTCTCGGGATGAGAATTTTTTAAAATCTTTAGAAACATTAGATACCGTATTGTGATTTTATATACATCTACTATACAGACCTTTCTTCGTACCAATTGAGATTTAGATAATATAAAATATACTGAAGTTTTGTATTTAACTTTATTGAATAAATGTAAAAAGTTATTATATTGATATTTAAGAAACTATTTTAACTATTGGAAAATTTGAATATTTTCTATACAGTTCAGTTTTATACTTAACAATTTCTGCTTAAACGCTCATCATATATGTGACACAGACAAGTATAAAACTAACTGATAAAGTGTTAATAGAGAAAGAATAATATTAAATATTTGTGCTATATAGTGTTTACCTAAATATCTGTGAAATAAGAATAGTTCTCTAAAATACTTTGTCACTTCTGTTCTTAAATGTAGAGAGGCACACTTATACATCATTAGAAACTTTTACATCATCCACACTATTACCATACTATAAAGCCTAATGATAATCGCGATTATCGTAGCCACTATGTGCTTATAATCACTTTGCCGTAGGTTTCTAAAATGATCTAATAACACAGGCCGACAAAATTTAAAAAAAAAAATTCCAGAGATCAGACACTACGCTTCCGAAGGCATTTGGCGCGCTGAATCCGAATCTGGCCTCAGAATTGATCCATCACCCTAGGTTTCCGAGATATTCTAACCTAAATGTGCAAAAAACACGTACTTTTGCTACATTCAAGGTTATGTAACTTGGCGAAAAAAATTTTTTTCTGAAAACTGAAAACATCATTGGAAACGACTATCTTTCTCCATCAAAACGCATTTTTTTATTTAGAAAAAGCTCAATTTTTCGCGGAGATATCGTCAATTTAAGATGACCAGTATGGCTATATTATTACATCATGGCTAACCCCATAACACTGAGCGCTAGCCCTAATTGTTAGGAACGTTAACCCCAAGCCCTATATGTCTGGAAGGTTAATCCCAAGCCCTATAACCCCACAACACTAAACGCTGTGAGCCCTAATCGTCAGGAAGGTTAAGTTCAAGCCCTATCACCCAATAACACTAAGCGCTACGAGCCCTCTAAGGCTCATAGCGCTTAGTGATATTGTGTTATAGGTTGAGCCATGGTTTAATAAGGTAGCTATACTGATCATCTTTAATCGACGATATCTCCGCGAAAAATAAAGCTTTTTACAAATAAAAAAATGCGTTTTGAAGGGGAAAGATAGTAGTTTCCAATGATATTTTCAGTTTTGAGAAAACAAATTTTTCGCCAAGTTACATAACCTTGAAAATAGCAAAAATACGTGTTTTTTGCACTTTTAGGTTAGAATATCTCGGAAACCTAGGGTGATGGATCAATTCTGAGGCCAGATTCGGATTCAGCGCGCCAAATGCCTTCGGAAACGTAGTGTCTGATCTCTGGAATTTTTTTCTTGTTGGCCTGTGTAATTAAAAAAATAATGAAAACAAAACTAATTTAAATACGTCACAAAAAAAATGCCTAAAAAATGTACAATTTCATTATATTCCTAAAATATTTTGGTGTGTGTATAAAAATTATACAATGCATTTGGATTTCTTGATTACATATACTGGGTCTCATCCACTGTTTTACTTAAAGTACAAAACAAATACACTTTCACTTTCGCAAAGTTCACTATGTTTAATATTCGTATAAACCGAGATAATGATTAAATTAACCGGAAGGTTATAATAGGTACTTTCGAGGGTACATTAGAGATTATCTGATAATTCACTTTGCGCCTTCTTCAATAACCGCTTCTGTATTATTAAATTCGGGCGTATTTGAATTCAAAGCACTTAAGTTCGAAAATTTAATAATAAAACAAAATAACGTCGCTCCATGAGATATCTTCGACGTGTTACGACTTTTCCAAAAAGTTGCGAGGTGTTCGTAGGGGAATTTATTTAATGTAGAAAAGTTTCCGGTCGAGAATAAAATGCGCTGGGATTTTCAGGTACGTATGGCAAGTGAGAGAAAGTCCCAGTAAAAAAGTTGGCCTGTCGTAAAATGCCTAAATATATTTTTTGTACTCAGATATTTACTACAAAAGCCTGTTTACAACTTCAACATTCTCAATAATAAAAAATAAGTTAAATATACGCGGCGTTAAAGTCTTAGAAGGAAATTGGATTTTTTAAGTACAAAAAAGCGGTTAAAACGTTAACAAATGCATAGGTCTGTTACATCTAAGGGAGTGTACGAGGATATACGAGGATTACATAAAAAAAATCTTATTAAATTTACCAAAATCTTAGCCTCAGAAAAGTTCGTATCTTAACATTCAAAAATTCAAATCAGGTACTGGCAAAATTTATTTAAAAAAAGTTAACTTTAACGCCGTGTATCCTGAAAATAAATTTGTGGTATGTTATTTTGAAACAGACAAGCGACAAGTTGGAAACTTTCGTAATGAATATTTTCGCTGTCCGTAGATGAGGATCTCATAAAAAATATGTTACACTTATTGATTTTGGTGGTGGATCCAAAATAGCTCGAGTGGAATAAACTTGCTGTAGTACATACAAATCATTCAATCATTAACAGCTAATAAACTGTCAGGTCGTCACGAACCTTTTACTTCTTGATGGACGTACAATTTAGAGCACTACATAACAAAAAGCATTGCGGAGAAATTACAACCGTTTAAAAATATATGGCCCGAAATATGGCACAACTGAGTGATATATTTGCCCATTAAGCAAATTCTCTTTATTTAGATTAGATTACTCTCAACTTGAAGGTGGAAAATTAGCAAAATTCTAAACTTTGTAATGTTGCCCTCACTGCTGTACACCTTTGTTTAGTGAGGTGAATACCACATAGTTTCTCTGGTTCAAATACAGAGTGAAACAAAATATACTTTATTAAAAATTATTTAGCCACACACAAGAAACATTTGCATTTATTTTAAAGAATGCGCCAAATATACATACACCTGTATGTGTTTAGCGTAAACCGATTTCAAATAGTTTACCAATAATTTTACATAATTATGTATTAATAAATAAATTCAATTATTAAAGGCTTATCCAGCCCAAAACGAGTTTCTGTTATTTGCCGGTAACAAATCAATTCTCGATAGGTTGGAAAATCCATATATTTCGCTGTCAGCCATGATTAACTATATCTTGAATCGATTTGGACCAATACATTATGCTGATATTAAATTGACCTCCAGGGTTCAACTGAGTACTAATAGACCACGTGGGACCATACTACGCAGGAATGTACCTACATAAACACAGCAACACGTTATACACTTTTGTTTGCAAAACGGCGATACCCAAAACCGATTGTCGAATTATCTTTATGCAAAAAAAAATAAATACAGTATTCAAAAAACCACCTCCCTTACTCGCTCTATTTGTATTTGACTAACAAAGTTGCCATCGTCGGGAAATCACTAAAATTAAAAGTCAATACGATACACATTTTGAAAAATAATTTTAAAAAATTAAATTAATCCTACGTGTTAAAAATCTCAGGAAAATTATCTAACACATCCCGATGTGCAATCCATTTGGCGAACGTATGTGTAATTGAATCAAGGCACCAAACACGGTCATTTATTTTCATTTGCAGTTGGGAATAAATTGTCATCAGCGGTATTTATTAGACTTGTGCTTCTGGTGTAGCCCTAAGTTAGACTTTATGGGCCGTATAATTTCTTCGGATATATTGTACCTAAGTACGTTTAATAATATCTCATAATATATTCAAAGAGAGGGCAGAAAGTAAGAATGATTGTCGGAAAAGGTATAACTGTTCTGAATGTTAATTGTTTTCTCTAAAATATCTGAACTAAATCCCGTATAATTATTATAAAACGGTCCTACCTACACAAAGATGTAGGTAGGAGCATGGAAAAGTTGAAGTAATTTAATGAAGAAATTTGATTTATTATAAATGTACATTTACTTTTTATGAATGAATTAGAAATGTCCGAACTTCCGTATAAACAAAATGCTTCACTGATAGGTATTAAAAAATGTCGGAAGATGTATAGAGTGAGCCAAATTCGGGCCGTCGTCTAGTTATAACTTAAAAACTAAAGTTATAGAAAAATATTGCAAAAAAACTGTATAAAAACTTAATTAAAAAAATGAATATTTTCACAAACAAAAGTATCCGACAACACAAAACAACAACCAAAATCGCCTGTGTCCCTTAATCGCATTAAGATATTATATTAAGATATTCAGTTTTCACGATTCCTTTATTATCTAGCTTTGTCTATCTCCTCTGGAAATACGAGGCCAAATTTGGCCTACCCTGTACAGAGTGTTCCCTAAATATTCTAAAATATTGAAGAATAACTAGGTCATTCAGTCATTCAAAGAATAATTTCATCTAAACATATGGGGCATTCCACGCCAAATAGAACATTTTTAACCCTGACCCCTTTCGGTTTGGCTGAAACTTTTTTATTGTTTTCTACCCCATTGAAATCCTCTGTGAATTTTTCCAAATTTTTTCACGCTGCTCAAAAAAGTTATGAATTTTTGAAAAAAAAAGTTTTTTAAAATAACCATAACTTTTTAAAAAATTGAGTTATCGGGACATTTTTTTTTCAAAATTTTTGTTTTAAAATGTACTTATTGAAAAAAAATGGATCAAAATTATCTGGACCTATCTTCACTGTTTTTTTTTAATTTTCTAAAAAAGCGAACATTTCTCGATGAATTTTTTAATTTTTTTCTTTTTTTTTCTTATAAAAAAACTGATATTTTTTATAAATCCTCGAATTTTTTCAGTGGTTTTTTCGTTTTCTATTTTTTTGACTGAAAAAATTTTTTTTTCAAATCAGCTTAGCTTTACATAACACCATTTTGAACATTTTTGAAAATGTATATAGAATCCCAAAATTGAAAAAAATTATATGAAAAATAATTGAGTGGTAAATATGAAAAAAAATTCGATTTTTTTTTTTAAAGTTAAGAAAAAAATAGAAGATCGTTTTGAATAATCTTTTTGTATTTTTTTTCGAAAACTACATCCAAAAACAAAGAAAATGAAAAAAAAGTTGTTATT